GACACTATCAGTAATTCTGCTTGGCCAACAGGGATAATATCCAGCTCTTACATGGCTCACCAGGGAGCGAAGTCAACCTTTAGCTCACATTTAGTGATGCAGATCACTTTTCATACTTTATGCTGGCTCTGGCCATAACTCACTACTCCTATAACACGGGCTCTTTGGTTGTTTTTTAACACCTTGGTTTTCTTCTTCGATAAAGCTGAACCAAAAAAGCTGCAACCATGGCTTTGTAATCTGTGGCTGAGTGTTTCCCTTCCCACTGGTTTCAAGGCCACATATTCTAAAATGTTTTCTCAGGGAGTTGTTCTCTGATCTTTTGTCATTAGCTTGCAACATGAGAGACCTGCTATAGAAGTTGCTATTATTCTTTTTAAAAGAAATTTTGCTAATGATACACTTCTAACATCATTACTAAGTCTCTTCTATTCTTTTTTTTTATAGTTCCTGTAATTTTATTATTTTTTTTATAATTTTTAAAATGAATTTCAATGAACATCTACAGAGATTTTGGAATTCCATTCATTCATTGTTGCACTTTTCTCTTCCCCCCCTTTGCTCCTCTCCTTAAAAAGCAAAAGAAAAACTCCTTCATTGGTACACAATCTCCCCGCACACCCCCACCTCCACCCCACATACTCCATTCTGCAACCCTCATTCCAAACTCCTATGATAATCATAATGCCCTAAAATATATTACTTTTAAACTATTCTCTCCCTCATAGACTTCAATGCAGTAAACATAATTTATCCAGTTTTTCTCAGTCTTACCCCGACCCCGATGTCAGCCTCATTCTACAACAGTATCACCATATAGTATTTGTCCTTTTGTGACTGAGATATTTCACTCAGCATAATGTCCTCCAGGGTCACCTATTTTGAATAATATTGCATGAGTTCCTTGTTTTTCCAATGCAGCAGTAGTATTCCATTGTGTGAATACACCACAGCTTCTCTAGCCATTCGTTTGTTGATGGGCATTTAGGGTGTTTCCAACTCCTTGCTATTATGAACAAAGCCGTGATAAACATGGGTGTGCATATATCTGCTTGGATGTAGTTTATGGTCTCTTTAGGGTATATTCCCAGTAGTGGAATTGCTGGGTCAAATGGTATCTCTATTTGCAACTTTTGGGCTTTTCAAAGTTGGGTATCCTTTGAACAGGCAAAAAAGTACTTAAGAGATAGTTATGTGTACCTTTTAGGACCTCAAGCTCTGTAGTTAAATGGACCAGCACCAAATTCTTCCACTTCTGCCAAATAATTGTGCAGGCAGTTACTTATAGTTTTTGAGTCTGAGTTTCCTTTCCTAAATATTGGGAGAATTTAACAGCTTCTTTTTCATGTTGCTTCAGTGAGAATCAAATGTAAACAGTGCATTGAATGTTTTATCATTATTAAGGACCTGATGACATAGGAAATGAAGATGAATTTTACCTTTCAAACTTATTAAGTATGTGAATTTGACAAACTTTCCTAGTGATTCTGTAATTGATCCTATATTCTATTTATACTAATTACAACTTTCATTATCTATTTTTCTATTTTATTTAAAGTATCTGATGATACTTCATTCTTTCTGGAATCAAGAATAACTTAATCAAAAAAGACACAATCTTGCTTGATGAGAACAAGGAGGGCTTGAAATACTTGTGGCAAAAGATCAAGGACTACTGACTTCAACATGGATGATACTTCAGTGTCAGGAAAACACAAGTTTTCACCATCAGGCCAAAAGGCAACATCATGTTAGATGGAGGAAAAAAATGAAAGTTATCAATTATTTCATCTTGCTTCAATCCACAGTCAACACTCTTGGTTACTAGCAGTCAAGAAATCAAAAGATCAGTTGCATTGGGGAAATTTGTTGTCCTCTCCAGAGTACTACAGAGCAATGATGTCAGCTTAAAGACTAAGGCACATCTGATCCATGTCATCATCTTCTTAATTGCCTGCTATGCATCTGAAAGCTGGATAATTACTAAGGTTGACAGAAGAATTTCTGCCTTTGAGCTGTGGTGTTGGAGGAAAGCACTGGATATTCCATGGACTGACAAGAGAACAAATAGGTCTGTCTTAGACAAAGTGAAACCAGAGTATTCCTTGGAAGCAAGGATGATAAAACTTTGTCTCACATACTTTGGGCATTTTGTTAGGAAGAATCAATCCTTGGCATATGACATGGTGCTTAGATAGATGGAGGGTCAGTGAAAGAGAGAACAACCCTCAAAAAGATAGATTGGTACAGTCATTGTAGCAATGGGCTCAAGTGTTAGAGACAGTGAGGATTCCACAGGATAGGGACTGTTTGAGATCCATTGTTCATAGGGTTGTTTTGAGCCACAGCCAACTGGAAGGCTCATAACAACAACAACAACAATAACAACAATCTTTCCTGTTTCCTCTATAAGGTCTCCTACACCCACTTTGCCACGCACAAATGAAACAGGGGAGGTATACAAGTAAAGGGCTCCTGCAGGGCCTGAGCTCTTCAACACCGTAGAACCAATTCATGCATGTTTCTTTCCTTAAGTGTTGTTACATTACTTTTACTCTTAAGTATATAATTTTATTTCAATAATATTTTCCAAAGTAAATAGTAATCTCTTGGAAAAATTAACAAAATACGTTGTTTCCGTGTTTACAGTATATCTTAAGGATAGACACAAACCAATCTGTTCACAAAAGCTAAAATTACTGTCTTTAGTATGAGACTTTTAAAAGAATTCTACCGTAACACATTGCTGTTAATAATTACAGGGATTCAAACGTCACATAATAAATTGTCAAGTAGCATGTAAAGCTGTATAGGAAATACAAGGTATATATCATACCAAATCAAGATAGATTAATCAATACCAAAAAGGAAAACTAAAAAATAAACTGGCTAAGTGTTTTACTTAAGCAGCCAATAGCTGTTGTGTGGAGTTTAAGGTTAAGAAATAAATACACTAATGGATAATTTAGATGACTTACCCACTACACTCTATGTTGTGAGATGCTGTGAAGTCACCTCGATTCACAGCAATTCTATACACAAGAAATCTCAGCCTTGCCTTTTTCTGCACCATCCTATCACTGCTGCCTTTCCCAAGCCCAATATTACAGTCAGAGTGTCAATACATCTTATTGAGGGTGTCCTCTCTTTTGCAGGGTATCTTTTTCCAACAATTGGCCTCTTCTGATAACATGTCCAAAGTACGTGAGATGAAGTTTCATCATCCTTTCGTCTTAAGAGCACCCTGGCTGTACTTTTTGTCTTTGAGACAAAGATAGATTTGCTTGGTCTTTATTCAGTCCAGGAGATATTCAATTTGCTAACACAATAGAATTTTCTTTGGTTTTTCTTATTCACTGTTCGACTGTGACATGCAAACAAACAGGTTAAAAAACATTATGGCTTAGAAAAGGCACCTTTTAGTCTTTAATATGACATCCTTGCTTTTTAACACTTTGAAGAGGTCCTTGAAAACAGATTTCTTGAATGCAACCCGTCTTTTAACTTCTTGATTGCTGTGACCTGAGTGCTGATTGTGGATCCAAGTCAAATGACATCTTTGACAACTTTAGTCTTTCCTCCATCTATCATGATGTCGGCCACTGGAGCAGTAGTGAGGATTTCTCTTTTCATGATGTTGAGTTGTAACCCATATTGAAGGCCGCAGTCTTTGATATTCTTCAGTAAATGCTTCATGTCTTTATTTTCTGTAAATAAGATTATGTCATCTTATACAATGCAGGTTATTGGTGAGTCTTCTAATCGTGATGCCACATTCTTCTTCATAGTCCATGTTCTTGAATTCATACAGCATACAGACTAAACAGGTGTGGGGACAGAATATATCCCTGATGTCCCTTTTCCTGATCTTAAACTGTGTAGTATTCCCCATACTCTATGACTTTGCATTTAAAAGCAAATGTGTAGCATACAATATTTTACTAAATAATCATAATAATTATTAATTGGCAAGATCTAAAGTCTTCGGTCCTAAAAAATACTCCTCAATATAAAAAGATTTGTTCTCTAGAGTCAGAAGAGTTCCTACAATCTATTCAATACAACATAGTTGTACTATAAAAAAGTTTATTTCTATTTTTTTCAGGTGTATAATTTACCTCTACAATAACAATTAAAACTTATTATTAAAAAGTAAAACAACACTTAAAAACCTACATGCATGGGTTATCTTACAAAGAAAAGAAGTTGCAAGTTTAAAGGCCTTCTGAGTTATACTGTAGCTCCCTCACCTTTGAAATAAAGCCATTGCCAACAACCATATGGGTGACTATGCCTGAATTACCCATACACTTTGCCTTCCCAGAGATGAAGGGATGGATTTACTGGACAAAGACTGCTACTGTCATTAGGTCCCAAAAAACAGAAACTGCCTCATATAGAGACTGCTCCAAATAGTTTTCTAGGCTACAATCTTTATGAGAACAGATCACTAGGACTTTAAAATGCTGATTTAGAAGCTTCAGGAAGTAAGATGTTTAATTATTAACCATTAGTGATTATTAAAATATTCATACGCCTTTTAGTTCTACTTAACTGAATATGGTAGAAAGGAGAGTAATGGAGACAGTACTTTACCTGACACATAAACACATGTAAGTTTATTTGAAAAAGTTAGATTTCAGAAATATCTATTTTCAGTGACCCTATATGGACTTGACTAAAAATAATTTGTGTTAACAGAATGTTTTTATTATCAGTTACTATGTAAGTGCAGGAAAGCCCACATTTGACAGTTGAATCTAATAAAGTAATATATAAATTTTTCCCATAATAAACTGTAAAACTTAGCTACATCTCAAGTGCTTTGTAGCAGATATTGATGTGACAACTATTGTGCACCACAATAATTTTTACTTTTGAAAGTATGTTGCTTTAACTTTAGAAATAAAAAAAAGAAACCCAAAAACCTAGGAAATTATTTAGGTTGAACAAATAAATCAATATTCTGTAATATGAAAGATATATAGTGAGAATTTTACCTGATCTGTCCACGAACTAGAGGTCTGTTCTTTGTCCTATTCATGTTTGAGTCAAAAGGTACTTCAAAAAACTGCAAAAAGATTAAAAAAGACAAAAAGCCATTAAATACAAAGCAATTCCTTGCCAGCTGTTTCCGATTCACAAAATTCCATGTTAAATGCCGTTTTAACTTTCATTGTATATATTAATAATCTTGGCATTCTGAGGTAAAATAATTTTTGAAATAACAAGCTTTATGAGAAATACACAGAGTTCTACTTTCACCTGCTTTGAGAACCACTTCTTAAGCATACGTTCTATTCTTTAAAGCCACTGGTTTGGATTTAAAACCTTAGTGCTGTAAACGATTTCAGAATCCTTCGTACATTTTGGACTATGGCTTCAACCAAGAATCAACCAACTCTGACTCAGGTAAATGGCTACATGAAGTCAAGAATCACAGCTGGAGTAAATGAAGATGGTAGAAAAACTGTACACAATCAGTGAGCAAAGTTCTTTGTCAAGTTAGGATGCCCCAGAGTGCACAGAGAGGCTCTCCCCAAAGCCAGAGCCCAGAACTCAGACCTTCAGACTCCTACCTTGGATGAAACGAAATGGTTTAGTAAACCATTCACTGGTGGTATTTCTGTTATACCAGCACTAAGAAACTGATAGTCACTCTAATGAAGTATTTTGTTCATGTGTTATAGACAAGACCCAGAAAATTATCACATTTCACCTTGCATAATATTGACAAATTACACAATATATTCCTAAATTAATAACTGTGTCTTTTACCTGACACCTATTTTGGCAAAGCAGAGCTCTCAGAAAACGTGCTGATCTGCTTACTATTTGAGGCCACCTTTGTGCCTAAAGTTTCCCCATGGTCAAATGGCATCTGATGTCCTTGCTCATTAGCACTTTAAAGAGGTCTCTGACAGGAAGTTTGCATCATGTAACACACCTTTTGGTTTCTTGACTGTGGTTACCATAGGTGCTGATTGTGAATCCAAGTAAAATGTAATTAACAATTACAATCTTTTCTCTATCTATCATGTATGCCTTGGTCCGGTGGTAAAGATTTCTGTTTTCTTGACGTTGAGGTATAACCCATATTGAAGTACTTCAGGTCCTCTTCGCTTTCACAAGTAGGGTTGCATCACCTACATAGTGTCGCATAGTGTAGGTTGTTGATGAGTCCTCCAATCTTGATGCCACCTTCTTCTTCGTATAGTCCAGTTTCTCGAATTACTTGCTCAGAATATATATTGAATAAGCTGTAACTGTGCATACTGACAGAAAGTGGCTAGGGTTTCAAGGCTGATTCTGAAGAGTCTGTGGTACAAATAATATCATGGCTGGTTTCAGATGAATCCTGGCTGGAAGCAGAGAATACCAGAAAGATGTTTACTAGTGCTTTATGGACTATGCAAAGGAATTCGACTATGTTGGACAGAATAAATTACAGATGAGAAGAATGGGAATTTCAGAACAATTAATTTTGCTCATATATAACCAGGACTCTCCTGCACTGTCCATCCACCCTTCCGAATATGATGTTCTTCTCCAAGGACCAATCTCTACTGGCCATGTGCCCACGTTTGTGAGAGTGAGCTTCAAAATTCTAGCCTCCAATGAGAATGGATTGATACAGTAACTGGGGCAATGGAGGTTGGTGTGTTGAAATTAGTGATACTGACTCAGGACAGGGCAGGCTTCAGAGTTGCTGTACATAGCGTCGCTATGGGTCACAGGTGACTCAACGGCACGTAACAGCAATAATAATGTGACTAGGACATAAACCAAGAAGCAGTTCTTGTTCCAACAGAACAAGAGAATACTGCATGGAATAAAATCAGGAAAGGTGTGTGTCAGGGTTGTGTCCTTTCTCCGTATTCAGTATGTATGCTGAACTGAGTATTCTGTAATGTCTCCAATTTATTTGACAGTTTGCATCTTTTTATCTTGAATTTTCCCCCCACTTAGTGTATTTATTGAGATTTATCATATTGTTGAGTATAGCAATAGTTAATGTCCTTTTTATTAATGAATATTCCATTATACAGAAATACCATAATTTGTATGCTCATTTATTTGCTGATGGATGTTTGAGTTGCTTTCAATTTTAATGTACTGCAAAAAGGGCAAATATGAACATTTGTGCTCAAGTTTGTGCATGATTATTTTCTCAATGATAAATACCTACAGTGAATCATATATACATATATAAATTAAGAAAATTCTTCCCATCCCTCTAACATTTAACAGAAGATATATTAATGGTGTTTAGCCTCAAGAATCAGTATATAGGTTTTGCAACATCAAAAAAGGCTATGTATGGCTTAACCTAAAAAGAAATGTCATCACCAAATAAAAATACAAGAACTCTGTACCCTCTTTTTGGGCGTGAATTTTTAATTATAAGAATTTCATGTTTTGCCTAAGTTTGATTTTTCTATCATTTTTTTTGGAAGTCAAGAATGGCTAATGGGTGTATCTGAGTACTGAGCTGACAAAGGGAAACTTGTTAAAGTTCTATGATTTGCAGGAGATTTGGAAAATAGAATTGAAGAAGCATCTGTGCTTATGCTTAAGCAGGAGGTGTAAAGTCCAGTACTGGTGCTGCTCACACACAGTTGCTGTGATCTGTTGGGCAGCACACCGGGTCTGCAACTTTATAATCTACCAGATCTCCCGAGATTGCAGGTAATCACAGGAATCCCTAGCTTTACATACTCTTGGGCCAGAACTGTCTGCAGCTCCAAGTAGATCAGCTCTAATGCACATCACTCTACCAAAGTCAGTGGCACAGAAACAGCTAGAAGCCAACATGTGTTCCAGTTGTTTGCCCCATCCTTGAAGACTCCACAAGAGTGTTCTCTCCTGACTGATAGTTTGCTGACTTCAGTCCTAATACCAGACACAGGAGCAAGAGATTGACTTAACCTGCTGGGCTCTCAACATCTAGAGATGTACTCCCTGCAACAAACATCACTTTGATATTTTTGATAAAACTCTGATACAGGCTGCCTCTTCCTTTACTTGCAGTTGTTGTTGTTGACTGCCTTTGAGTCCAGCATGACTCATAGCGACCCTATGAACAAAAGGCCTGAAACTCCTCTACAACTATCAACATTTATCAAAGTTCATAGTTTTCAGAGGCATGTTACTTAGGAAGTGGATGCCACTCCTGCTTCCAAAAGCACCACTGTTAAAAAATATTTCATTTTTTCTGTCTCAATATCTCAACTGGTATTTTCAGTTGCTTTTTACGCATCGGAAAGTTGGACTACAAATAAGGATGTCAGAAGAAGAATTGATGCCTGTAATTATGGTGTTGGAGAAGAGTACTGAACATATCATGGTTTACCAATAGAATAAATAAATGTCTTAGAGAAGGTGCAACCAGGGTGCTCTCAAGAGGCAAGAATGGGGAAACTACTTCTCACATACTTTGGGCATATTTTCAGGAGAGGCTAGTTCTTGGAAAAAGACATTATGCTGGGGAAGGCAGAGGGCCAGAGAAATAGAGGAACACCTTTGACGAGATGGACTGAGAGTGACTACAATAGGCTTAGGCATGGGAGAGATCATGAGGATTATGCAGGGCAAGGTTCAGATCTGCTGTTTGTAAGGTAGCTCTGAGTTGCAGTCAACTCCATGGCACCTATCAACATCTCAATATTCTACTCAATCATCGAAATATCAAATTTCCTAGAAGATGTGAATTTACAATTAGTACCAAAGAGAAACAGCATAGTATTTATAAAGACCCTCAATAATTACAATAATGATGATAAAAGTTTACATTTGCAAACTGTGTTCCATGTGAAGACTTACTGAATTGATTAAAAAGTGAGTTTATAAACATTAATAAAAGTACTCTTTGCCTTTAAGAAAATATATATATATAATTTACTGGATTAGCTGAAGTCACATGTAATTAAAATATTCCATCTCAAACATTCATGTTCCTTCCTTTCCCCAGTATTCAGACATATTCACTATAGATATATGAAACAAGATTTCTTTAATGAACAGAAATATGTACTATTAACTTCAGAGAGTAAATAAGAATTTCAATTACAAATCATATTATTTAAAAGCCTTAGCCGTGGGCTGGAAGCCTCTTAAGTCAATCAGGACCTGGTGGGTGGGCCTTTGTATTTAAAAGTTGGTTGGGCCCTTGGGCCTGTTAACTGTGTTTGGGAAGTGCTTTGTTCTAACTGGTATAGCTCTTGTCAGTTTGCTGGACTCAAATAACTTGGGGTTGCTGTGATATTGAACATTATGCCACTTGTGTGTCAAATGCCATAATGGTTACCCATGGTGGACAGGGACTGGCTGAGCTCCAAGATTAAGACAGTCTTGGAAGCAGGACTGACATCCATTTCCTAAACAACAGCCCTTTGGAAACTCTATGAACATTAGAGAAAAGATGATAGTTATAAAACAGTGTTCAGATCTTTTGTTCACAGGGCCACTATGAGTCACACATGACTCAGTGGCACTTAACAACACTATTCAAATAATTTAAGAACTTAAATACTAATTTATGGTTTTGTCCTAAATTACACAAAAAACTAATTTAAAAACTGGGCAGTTATCAAGTCTATGGGGTATGTGTTATGTGCTGTTATGTGCCGTCAAGTTGCCTGAAACTCACAGCGAACCTATGTACAACAGCCCTAAACCCTGCTCTATCCTGTGCCTATCTCACTGTCTCTGACAAACCTACCCTGATTACCCCTGTCACTGAATCAATCTACTTCATAGAGGGTCTTCCTCTCCTGTGCTCTCTCTACTCTCCCAAGTATGATGTCCTTCTCCAAGGACTGACCCCTCCTTGCAACATATCCAAAGTATGTCAGACAAAGATTCAGAATCCTTGCCTCCAAGGAACAGCCTAGTTTAACCCTCTCCAGGATGAACTTGTTTGTTTTCTTAGCAGTCCATGGCATATTCAATACTCTTCTCCAACACCATAGCTCAAAGACATCAATTCTCCTTCTGTTATCACTAGTCATTGTTCAGCTCTCTGACACATAGCAAGTGACTTCAAAGGCCATGGCCTGTATCAGGAGCACC